TAAGGGGGAGGAGTTGTAGTGTATTGAGCCAGTGGTTGACATTATGAGCATGCGCACTTATGCGCATTCTGTTCCATGTGCTTTGATTTGCAATAAACCAAATACATGACACTATGTAATAAATGTTATGAATCAGTCAGCATACAAAAGCTTGGCCTTTACTGACAAGCTTTACCACAAAGTAACAGGATATAATTTGACTTATAAAGAAAAGTTGACTTGGCAGTCTGTTAAGTACCTGAGCTAGAAATGAGTTATACAGTCATGTTGTTCATCTTCAAGTATAACTTTGCCTACTTTGACTTATTCACAGGAACTTCCCAGAGTTCCACACATTACAGGTATCCTGTCTTACATGAAGTCCGTTGGGGAGCTGACTTTCAAAGCGTTATAACTCGCAAGCTGATTAATGAGACCCATGGTAATATTTAAATTTTGGTTATACATTTCTTTGACTTTGCTATAGTGTTGAATGTCAACGTTTTGATGTAATAATGTCATAAAACTATCTACATTCTAGCTATCTTTATGGATCTTCAACATGTTCCTGATGCTGGGGGTACAGGAAGAAAAGCTAGGTACTAACATAAATATATATTTCTTATATTTTTGCAAAGTCATTCACTAGTCTGGTCTGCATACATCTCTTATTAACAAAATGGAGCAATTGAAAGTTTAGAAAAGAACGCTTTGCTCACTAACTAGGTAATTATAGGGTTACTTGTTGCCAGTGGGTTAATTCCTGAGCTTGTGAGAACAATATTTCTTTTTAACAGCCTGATAAAGTTCAGCAGGAGATATCGAAGTGTGGTGAGAGCTTGTATCCTTGACCTTGAGGAGAAGTCTGGTATGTTTTTGTGTTATGACTTACTACATGTAGATATACTAAACTTTATGGAGATATAAGCTGAACCCTTGGTCAAAAGTAACTTTAGATAGTTTGAGATGGCAGGGTTTTGAGTACCCGATAATAAATGACTGTAGAAACACATCCCAGGGAAAGTAATTTGAGTTCAAAAGACAGTAGCAGGTTTGAGATACTGAGGTTTAAAGGAGCTCAGTCATGGTGTTTTGTCTTTTATTTGGCCACCTACAACATCTCCTTTAAATGGAAGGAAACCTAAAAATAATAGTTTACTAAGATAGAAAACATCAAAGAGATAATAGTAAACCGTAAAGGAACGAGGATGGCCAAGGATGGCGAAGATTGACACGGATTGCAAATGACGAATTTGAAAAATTTAGGCTAAACTTTACAAAATGTGCAAACCAGGACTGAGTTCCTTTAACTGTATTGATTGTGATGTGTGATACACCCTCTCACTTGGTATTGCTTGGTTTCCAGAATCCCATTGTCGGCTAGTGATAATTGATTATTACTCAATGTACCATTGTGTTTTGAATCATTTGTTTAACATACTGTAACTTGTAATCGTAATGCCAAGAAATTACTGGACTTTGTGTTACTGATTACATCTTAGCCTGGTGCTTGTCATGATATTGTCACAGACTTTTGACACTTGACACAAGTATACATGACTTAATAGTGTGTGGCCTATTGTTATACTGTCAAAAATTAGTGTTTAATTTTGTCGCACAGTATCAATGCATGTCTCTGTCAGTACAGCTCAAAAGGAAATGTTTTAGTTAAGCNGAGGTTTTGAGTAGCTGATAATAAATAACTGTTAAAACACATCCCAGGGAAAGTCATTTAAGTACAAAATACAGTAGCAGGTTTGAGTTACTGAGGTTTGACTGTATTGATTGTGATGTGTGACACACCTTCTCACTTGGTATTGCTTGGTTTCAAGAATCCCAATGTTGACTAGTGATAATTTATTGATTATTACTCATGTACCATTGTGTTTTGAATCATTTGTTTAACATAACTTGTAATCGTAATGCCAGGAAATTACTGGACTTTGTGTTACTGATTATATCTAAGCCTGGTGCTTGTCACGATATTATCACAGACTTTTGACACTCGACACAAGTACACATGACTTAATAGTGTGTGGCCTATTGTTATACTGTCAAAAATTAGTGTTTAATTTTGTCGCACAGTATCAATGCATGTCTCTGTCAGTACAGCTCAAAAGGAAATGTTTTAGTTAAGCTTCTTTGTTTCATAAAAAAACCTTAGTTTGTCTTTATTTCACTTCCTAAGCCTTTAGGGAGTCTTCAACTGGTGCAAGATATCCACACTCAACAGTTTCACAGGTGGGCATTGAGATGCTACATGTATATTCAACGCGAGAAATATTTTACCTGGCTGCCAGTTTGCCTGTCATGTTTTCTATCCCCACTCACATAGCTCACTTTACGTTTAACAAGAATTTATGTGAAGCTACCCTGTTAGTCTACAAGTACAATCGTCAACAAAAGTCACAGGACTAATTTGAACTTTTGGCCCTTTTTTTCACAAACACACCAAAGAAATACTGGGTGCAAATACAACTTTTCATGAGTTGCAAATTGTGGGAGGTGCGGTGGCCTCTTGGTTGGTGTGCTCATCTCCGTATCGAGTGGTCCGGATTTACGCCCTGGCCAGGGACATTGTGTTGTGTTATTGGTGTCTCTCTCCACACAGGTGTATAAATGAGTACTAGCAAACCTTATGCTGGGGGTAACCCTGCAATGGACTAGCATCCCATCCAGGGGGGAGTACAAGTACTCCTAGTCGCTTCATGCTACAGAAACTGGGATAAGCTCTGGCCTGATGGGCTACTTGGGTCATATGCAGACTCTTTTTTTTACCCTGAGTTGCATTGTATTGTTTGGAAGCAGTGCTTTTTCACAATTCAGTTATAAAACACGTATAATTTATTGCATTACATTAGCGTCCCAAGGACTTTTCTCCACCTTTGTGGTTACACTTACTGGTGACAAATTTAGTTTTCTTTCTTGCAGAGGCAGCTATTGACACTGATTGAAGCTGTTTGGCACCTGTGTGAGATACTGTTCATTGAAACTTTACCAGGTACTATAAGTATTGTGAAATGTTATATTGTAATAATAAAGTGTATTATCGTTTGTCTCACGATGTAGTCACTTGAGATGTAGATCNCAGCATCCTGACAGACATCCTGGAGAATATGATGTATGTGATATTGATTTTTGGGGAAACTATCCATTTTAATTGTTGTGCATACATAAAACAGGCCTTTGGATGACATGATACCAGTCTACACAGTACGTAATGCATCTATGAATGTAGTGACAGATATTTTGACATGAGAAGGTGTTTGATGGCTCTTAACATTTTTACATCATTGCAGGAGTTTGCTAGCATGGATGAACTTCTTCGTAAAATGCCCATGTACCAGGTGTGTATTGTTTCACTGAGAAATTAGCCAGAAATCAATTGCTACATGTATAGTATACAGCATGTATTTAAGTCAAAAGCATGTTATTTTAATTGTAAAAAAATCTTGATGAGCCAGGGCTCAACTTTCAGGGAAGAACCTTGCAGCCAGCTGGCCCCTAAGTTTTCAGATTTCAGTGAAAAGCGTGAGAAGTGAGTCACCAGTGAAAAAAATTTGGTGGCATTGGCGACTCCAGAGGTTGCAACATTGAGCTCTATGAGCCCAGTCTTGATGCTATCATGTAGCTCAAAAATGATGCTGGTGTTGGTCAGTGATTGAGTAACTCTTATTAGGAATCTGTTTTTATTTCCTCTATTTCTCTTTTTGTTCATTCTTGAATTTGTTAGTTTCTTTATTCGTTCATCTATGGTTAGTTTTATCTACTCTTTAACTAGTTTGTTTCTATTCAACATTACTCTCCCTGTACAGTTGTACATGGGACAAAGCTTGGCAGAATTCAGCATGAAATGGAGTCACTGGCAACAAGAGTGTAAACATCGTCTAGATAATGAAACATTTGCAGGGCATCCACCGCTACACACAATATGTAAGGTATGGATACTGATCCTACAATGATTGGAACCTCCACTAACAGCCACCTCTCTACAACAGCCACTCTCCTCTGTTTCCAACATGGCCATTCTGGAGAACTTCAACTGTATCTAATTTTGAGGCAGAATACTTGCGGTTGCTCAGAACTACAGAAACCAAAGTTTCATGTAGGCACTTGATCTGTGCACCACTCAAACTTTGGAAATTATCAGTAATTGATCTCTTTTAAGTTTAATGTACTGTAATCTTCTCTATTAAACATTTTTCTTGTATAGATACTCTGTGGGGAAGAAGAGGTGTTTGATGAAGTGATGTAAGATTTATTTTTCAATTTTAAAAGTTAATTTTGGCCAATTTAGGTCAATTTTGGGCTGTGTTGCTAGGTATACACAACAGTAAATCACACTGCACTTTACTTTCAAGTTACACCTTTCTGAGATCAAAAGGCAGATAATGAAGAGTGTTTTTTGATGTAGCTCCCATATAATTTTAAGCTATTTATAGATTCAACAATCCTATAAATCACTCAAACAAAAATGTTTATTCCACAAGGCATGCAAAAAGTATTACCAACTCAACTAAGAGAAGCAATTGATGCCTACAGGACCTTCCAAAAAGCTGTAAACTGTTTCAGCTGAAAACAGCTGGTTTTACTGGGGAACTTTCAAACAATTCTTCAGGAACAGATTGGGGTTGAAAAGTCTGGCTCTAATGGAGTCAGGGCTCGAGATTAACTTTTTCGTTCGGAAGCCAGCTGGCGACTAACGGAGAACTTTTGGTCGCCNAATTCAGCATGAAATGGAGTCACTGGCAACAAGAGTGTAAACATCGTCTAGATAATGAAACATTTGCAGGACATCCACCGCTACATATGATATGTAAGGTATGGATACTGATCCAACAATGATTGGAACCTCCATTAACAGCCACCTCTCCACAACGGCCACCTCTCTACAACAGCCACTCTACTCTGTTCCCAACGTGGCCATTCTGGAGAACTTCAACTGTATCTAATTTTGAGGCAGAATACTTGCGGCTGCTCAGAACTACAGAAACCTAGGTTTCATGTGGGCACTTGATCTGTGCACCACTCAAACTTTGGAAATTATCAGTAATTGATCTCTTTTAAGTTTACTGTACTGTAATCTTCTCTATTAAACTTTTTTCTTGTACAGATACTCTCCGGGGAAGAAGAGGTGTTTGATGAAGTGATGTAAGATTTATTTTTCAATTTTGAAAGTTAATTTTGGCCAATTTTGGTCAGTTTTGGGCTGTGTTGCTAGGTATACACAACAGCAAATCACACCGCACTTTACTTTCAAGCTACACCTTTCTGAGATCAAAAGGCAGATAATGAAGAGTGTTTTTTGATGTAGCTCCCATATAGTTTTAAGCTATTTATAGATTCAACAATCCTATAAATCACTCAAACAAAAATGTTTATTCCACAAGGCATGCAAAAAGTAGTACCAACTCAACTAAGAGAAGCAATTGATGCCTACAGGACCTTCCAAAAAGCTATAAACTGTTTCAGCTGTAAACAGCTGGTTTTACTGGGGAACTTTCAAACAATTCTTCAGTAACAGATTGGGGTTGAAAAGTTTGGCTCTAATGGAGTGCAACTTTTTCATCATCTCTTTTCATGCCAGTAGACACATGAGGCCTTGTGGAATTTGACTTCAATGATTGTTTACTCCGTTCAGCAAGCTGGCTTGTTTGCTCTAAAATCTATCTGTCTACCTACCTCCGTCAAGGAAACAATAAGATTTGTTTGGAAACAAAGATATGTTTCCTTTTGATAAATGTGTGTTCTTTCTTTTTGTCTTTGCTTATCAGAGAGTATTGCAAGACATGGTATCATTTGCTTGTAGCTAAACTGCTGTACTGTAATCCAGCCATCAAGTCTTTTGATTTACAGTACCATACTCAGGTAAATGTGCACCATAACATGATTTCATTAAAGGGTCTAGGTCACATAGTTTTAGTCAATTCTAGCATTGTTCATAGGATTAACTGAACAGAAAAAATATCACAATAACTAAACTGGTGCATGGATGGGACAAATTGGAGATGATTNGGGAAAGAACGGATGGTATGACAGAATGTTGTCCCTCGAAACTCGATTTTCTCTAACAAAGATCATGACTTTAAGGCCCAGTCCACACTACGCCGGAGAAATTTGGAAACGTCGTTTTCACTCTGTAAACGCATCAAAAGTTTTCCGTCCACACTACGACGGAGGAATTTAAAAACGCAACAATCGCTGATCATTTTGGATTTGTGTTTGAGGAAAACTCGGCCAGGGAATTCGAAATCACATGGTTATCGTGACACCATCGTTTTCGAAAAGCGTCGTTTTCAAAATGTTTTCCGTCCACACTTAAACGCAAAGCCGGCGTTTTCACATTCATCCGGTTTGAAGAGCGTTTTCGGAAAGCTCCGTTTTCGTGACGGACTAGTGTGGACGGTAAGCTAAATCATAGAAATAAAGCTGCGTTTTCAAATTTCTCCAGCGTTGTGTGGAGGCTGCCTAAGATGGCAAACTAAATGTTAACTTTGAGATTGGTGATTAATATGTGTATTGTTTGTTGATAGTGAGGCTCTTGGAAACTGGTGGTTTGTCGCACATCTGACTGACTTGTTACATCATTGTGGACAACTGGACTCACATCACATCAGGTTGAAGAAAATTTGACAATTTATGAACAGTTTATTGTGCGCAACAGTACTGCTTGAAAGTACCTAAAAGAACTTAAAAGTACGAAACACCTTGTACAGTAGAATTATTTGTTCCTAGTATTTTAAAAATAAAAATAAAAACTACTCGTCCCCACTAGCCCTTTTGCTTTAAACAGTGATTGAGGGCCAAAACAAAGTTATGTATTTTTTAAAAATTGTAATAATTAAACTGCACCATATGAAAGCTTTCCTGAATGGCGTTCACCTGATTAATGGTCATGTTGGATTCTTCCACATTAAATGTCACAAACACCATGTAGAACTCAAGAAAGTGCTGCTCGGTAGCTTTAATTTGAATGGTCACACACTATGTTTTCATCAACTTTGAACTTATATTCTCAAAGTCATTAATAATTCATCAAGCTTAAACAAAGGAAATCATGACCGTGACGGTGTTTGGATATCTGATCTTAATTAGCATAGATTTTTACAATTGTATTTCTCCGTTTTCCTCCTTAGTTTTAGTTTCGATTGAGAAGATATATCAAACACTCAAAACAGTGTTTGACCACATTTCAAACACCTCGACGTTCGCCAAAAATACTCCTTTACCCGTCGTTTTTTCACCTCCCTTCTCAGAGTTTGGAATGTGGTCAAACACGGTCTTTCGTGTTTGATATATTACTTACAAGGCAAGTACATCGAAAGCTTTATAACCACTACGTGCTGCTCTCTAATGTTAGTATTTTCTTATTTTCAGTCACAGCGTCAGCTTGAGAGAGTTCCTTATATTGGAATATGCCGCTAGTCTCATGTCGCATCACAGGTGAGACAAAAATGTTTCTATAGAAAAAATCTCATCGCAGTGAAGAACAAATTTCCCATTGTTTCGTTACGTCTTCCTTATATGTTCACTGGACACGTGTATACTTGATGCTCGGTGGAGCTGTTATTATACAAACGCAGTGCCTTATATTATTGACTGCTCAAAGTATCGGAAATTTTGTAGCTAGCCGCAGCTTGCTTTAACCAATCAGGGTAAACCTCAGTTCTTTTAGCCATAGTTAATACTATGTTTTAGCCTATCAGAAGCAGAACCGAAACCAGTCGAGGCCCAGCTTACGCGCGTTTTCCTGTGCTAGGCGCCGATTGCATGTTTTTGCTTCGATATATTTCTTGCGTTTGCTGTGATTAGCTTTAAGTGGTTCTGCGACAGTCGTAGTAGAAAACAACTCTCTGGGTTTCAATTTCCAGAGCCTATTCCCAAGAAACGGTCGTTCAGTTTGTTCTTAGCATTTGCAGGTTCTGTTGTGCGCATACAAAGTAAAGCTTACTCTGGCCCTTGAAGCGATACAGTATGTAACCCCCCCCCNCTGTACAAATAACTGTACAATATCGCTGTATATGGCTGGTTTGCAGTGTCACGCCATCAAAAATAAAAATCATAACCATTCAATAAATTAAGTCAAGAAGCTGGCATATGAAAGATGATTGATATATAAACAACCTCGCCAAGATTTAGGTTTGTGCAGTTTTTCATTTTCCCGTTATTTGGAGAAGTGTTTCACGCAAATTTATAGAGCTTTGTATGGAGTCGCCATGTTTGTGCCTCTTGGAGGGACACAAACATGGCGGCCGTAACGTAACAGAAACATCTGTCTTTGAGTTTTGCCATTGAAACGAAAAGTTATTACTCTAGAGCTCCGACACATTGAAATTAATACTTTTTATAGAGCAACAACTGTTTAGTTGGCAAAAACTTGGGCAATAACTCATCTTTTCGACCATTCGAGAGCCTTATCGGGCCGCCATTTTAATGTCACACAACGCATAAACTTGGAAATTCAAACGTGCCCAATTTCAAAATGAGGAACCCTGTCGAGCTTAAACGCTGCAAAACATCAAGTTATTAAAGGTCTTACATCTGATGAAACTAAAACTTCTGAAGGATTGGTAATTTCTTAATTTGGAAAATGATGACGTCACATGAAAAGCAGCAATTTGTACTGTTATTTGGATGGTATTCGCTGCAGTTGGATAATAAACAGATTAATAGAATTGAAAATATAAGTATGAGTAACTGCGTAGCAGCCAAAGTAAAAAAGCTTTCGAGTTTACTGCTTCGGACAAACTCGAGAGAGACCTTTCTTTTGATCTGTCGCTGGGTCCTTTTCAATCCTTTTCAATTTAAACTTCTAAGATCTGTTCTGATTATTGAGTATTCAAATGTTTTGTGTTTTAGAGCACACCTCGAAGAGTACATTGAACATCTTCCCCTGGAAACAGACAAGAAGGCTATGAAGGTTCTCAGACTGTGTGAAGACTTGGAGATGCTTGCACAAGGTAATGCAGATAAACGTTATATCTTAATCTGGAAGGAAGAGGCGCGGTGGCCTCATGGTTAGTGCGCTGACTCCGGATCGAGTGGTCCGGGTCGAGCCCTGACCGGGGACATTGTGTTGTGTTCTTAGGCAAGACCCTAGCTTTCACAGTGCCTCTCTCCACCCAGGTGTTAAATATGTACTGGCGAGTTTAATGCGGGGTGGAGGAGGGGAAGGGGGGGGGGGGTTACCTTGCAGTGGGCTAGCATCCCATCCAGGGGCTCGTGAAGAAATACTCCTAACCGCCTCATGCTACTGAAAACGAAAATAGACGCCGGCCTGATGGGCCACTCGACTCGAACGCAGTCGTTTCCTTTCATCTAGAAGAATTCGCATTGAAGTAAAAGTTTACCCAGGACACAAAGTTAGCGACCAGCAGGTCGCATTTGCGACTAGATTTTTGGCTGTGCGCCTAAAAAATCATGAGTGGTCGCACCACCGCGCCTTAAAAGCCAAAGTACAGTGGGACTTCTCTAGTGCTTACTCACCTGACCATACTAACGTACTCCGATTGACAAATATAAATATAAACATAGATATAACACAACCAGGCACCAGATAATAAAGTTGCATCATTTTCCTTTCATCGGTGTATGTTCTATTCGTCGTCTTTAAGCCTAATTTCCCAGTGGATTCTCCGAACTCGAACGTTCATTTCTTCCCTACGTTCTGTGTTGTAAACAACTCCGCTGACACNTGTCTGTTGCTTCATTCTCAAGGAGAAGAGGCTCTGATCCAAAATGGTGATACCTATTAAATATTGTAGACTTTTTCCTTTTCCCTAGACTGGGAAAGGACGCTTACTTCAGTGTCACGTGGCAGTTGACAATTCTTGTTTCGGCTCCTTGATGAGTTCGAGAGGACTCTTTCATTTTTGTCGTTAAGATTTGTTGAACCTAAGGGTGTTTACCTGCGCTTAAAAATATCTTTGCAGACCCCAAATACTTACGCAATCGTGTTGCTTTTCTTCGATCAATTTTCAACGTTGTCTTGATTCTGATAACAATAGTGGTATGGATAGTTCACTGACAAAGAACACTGTAATAAACTAGATACTCTATTTCCAATTCAGGTAATGCACTAGAAACAAACAAGAGTTGTCTTGAAAAATGCCGGCTACAAGCTCTGTGTTTGGCGGAGGGTTTATTAAAGGAAGGAATTTCTACATTGTAGTTTTAAAAATGAAAGGGCTGATGTCATGAACGAATTAAAGATATCAGATACAAATATACATGCCATTCTAGATCAGACTTGCCTGTTCTGTTTTGTCATGGATTGCTGGTGCCTTGCGATCGTGAGGTTAAAGCAAGAAGGTAGCTTTATTCCAAACGTGGTCGTCACGTAATCCTTGTGAAGCGCTTTGCTTGACGATTGAGCATAACGCTGCAGTCTTGCTGACATCTAACAGCGGTTTCGGCCCACCGTACCGTCATAGGGCCGCAAAGCGTGCAAAAAGAGGGAAAATAACTAAGTGGCAAAAAGGTGGAATAACGTTTTGGTATTTTTTTATATCTTTCCAGCTCAATCTATTTGTAAAACTTTGAGTATGAAGGCGATGAGGAGCGGTAGACTGGGCGCTGCCTTGGCTTGGTGCCTCAGATCAAAGGTAAGGTCTTTCATCCACATTTCATTTATTGCTGAAGACAAGGAACTAAAGGTCATTCCACTGAAATAGAACCTGCACTGAGAATGACCTTAAGTGAGCGCGGAAACGGAGCCTTGCAGCAACACTAAGCTCATTTATACCACATCACATGCGCATGCCCAAGAGGATTGTTTTGGTGTTTATACATTGCGTATCTTCGTTTTCGATCGTTTTAGTGTAGACGGGGAAATGTTACGAAAACGGTAGCGTGGTCGCGAATATTTTCACGCGTTTCCGTACCGACAATGGGTTATCGAAAAAGCATCGTTTCGGAAATGCATCACAGTCGAACCTCCACTGACGATCACCTCTCTCCTCTGACCCTAAGCTGGTCGTTGTTGAAAGGCTCGACTGTAGTGTGGACGGGGCCAAAGTGCCTTGCTTAGCCGGACAATAACATGTTTATCTTTCAATGTTAGCAGTTGAAAGACCTAAGCATTAAGCTCCAAACCACAATCCAGCCCGT